TTGGGGATCCACTCTTCTTTGTGGGGTTTGGTGACCCACTCTTCTTTGTGGGGCTTGGTGATCCAATCTTCTTTGTGGAGCCTGATGATCCAATTTGCTTTGTGGGTCTTGGTGTTCCACTATTATTTGCGGTGCCTTGTGATCCACTCTTCTATGTGGGTCTTGTTGTCCCACTGTTTTTTGTGGGGCTTGGTTATCCACTTTTCTATTCTATGTGGGGGTTGGTGTCCCACTATTATTTGTGTGGCTTGGTGATCCACTCTTCTATGTGGGGCTTGGTGACCCACTCTTCTTTGTGGGGCTTGATGACCCACTTTTCTTTGTTCGACTTAGTGACCCACTCTTCTTTGTCCGACTTGGTGACCCACTCTTCTTTGTGGGGCTTGGTGATCCACTCTTCTTTGTGGGGCTTGGTGACCCACTCTTCTATGTTGGGCTTGGTGATCCATTCTTCTGTGTGGGGCTTGGTTAACCACACTTCTGTTCTTCGTGGGGCTTGGTAACGCACTTTTCTCTTCTGTGTGGGGCTTGGTGTCGAAGTATTATTTCTGGTGACTGATGATCAACTTTTCTATTTGGGGCTTGGTGTCCAACTCATCTTTGTGGGGCTTGGTGACCCACTCATCTTTGTGGGGCTTTGTAACCCACTTTTCTCTTCTATATGGGGCTTGGTGTCCCACTATTATTTGTGGTGCCTGGTGTCCCACTATTACTTGTGGGGCCTGGTGATCAATTTTTCTATATGGGGATTGGAGTCCCACTCTTCTTTGTGAAGCTTGGTAACCCACTCTTCTCTTCCTTGTGAGGCTTATTGTCCCAGTATTATTTGTGGTGCCTTGTGATCCACTATTCTCAATTAAGAACGAAGAAGAAGAATTGTTCTATGTGGGGATTGGTGATCCACTCTTCTATTCTTTGTGGGACTTGGTGACCCACTTTTCTCTTCTATGTGGGACTTGGTGTCCCAGTATTATTTGTGGTGCCTAGTGATCCACTCTTCTATGTGGGGCTTGGTTACCCACTATTCTTTATTGGGCTTGGTGACCCACTCTTCCCTTCTATGTGGGGCTTGATGTCCCACTACTTTTTGTGGTGCCTGGTGATCCACTCTTCTTTGTGGGGCTTAGTGACCTACTCTTCTTTGTGGGGCTTGGTGAACCACTCTTCATTGTGAGCAGAGTTTCTTCCAGGCATCTCTTCGGGGGGGGCAAAGCCCCCCCCCCTAAAAATTTTTACCGCCCCCCCCCCCCCCCCCGAACGAAATGAAATGTATATAATATATATAATTTATATAGAAAATATATATTTTTAACAGTGTCCGCCCCCCCCCCGGAAGAAAGTTTACCGCCCCCCCCCCGAAGATTTCAAGTGCCCCCCCCCCCCCCCGGAGAAAAAAGTCTGGAAGAAACACTGATTGTGAGGCTTTATGACCCACTCATCTTTGTTGGGCTTGGTGACCCACTCCTCCATTCCATGTGGGGCTTGATGTTCCACTTTTTTGTGGTGTCTGGTGATCGACTCTACTTTATTAGCGCCTGGCGTTCCACTATTCTTTATGTGCCCTTGCAACATACACTTCAATGTGAAGCCTGGCGTCCCACTATTCTTGTCAGGAATGTTGGTTACAATACTGTACTGTATGCCAACCCAAAGGATATTTTAAGATCTTATGGTACATCTCACAAATTATGTTTGTGTCCCGCAATATTCATGCAATGTCGTTGAAGAATAAGGTAGGGCCTATCTAGAAAGTTCGGACGAAATCGCCGCATTAAAAAAAGGGTCAAAATTGAGTTACAAGACTTGCCACAAACTCACAAAAACATAAAACAGACGAAGTAAAAGTTTGTAAAAGTATGTCAGGCGACAATCTATTATTAGCATAATGAAGTGACACTGTCATTGCGAGCACAATGAATTAGTGCTTTCTCAATTGATTACCTGCTAAAGCTCCGTGCTGTTGCGAGTCAACTCATTCAAAGCGATTAAACTGGAGTTAATTTTATTTATTTTTATACAATCCAGGCGTAATTTATTATTCGATAAAAGAAACAAAATAGTGTCTACCTGCGGCTAAAATTAGCACAATTGATTATCAATTTTTAAAAAATCCGGGAGTGATCTCCCCTAAACTCTCTCGCATATTCTTAACCCTTTGAGCCCGCCAGGCCGGTAAACCGGCTTCAACATTAGGCATATATGTCCGAAAAGCCGGTTTTCCGGCCCGACGATCTAGCGTCATATTCCTAGAGGCCGGTATACCGTCTAATTAAATATAATTAGCGGAAGACTGACTAAAACTGCGCATATGTCTTTTTAGTGCGGGATTATGATTCTAAAAATAAATTTTAGGAAAAGTGAAAGTGTTCAAGTACGTTCTGATGCACGTGGTGCCAAGGACAAAGACTTGCCGAAACAGAACAAAAAAACTGTTTACTGGTGCAAAACATCCGAAGTTTTTCTATGCATTGGGTTCGGCAGTGATAACTGTTTTGAAATTTATCACACAAAAGTGGACTTCTGGCGATGAACTAGTGTGGCCAGGTATCAATAATAACAAAACAATTACTAAATGTAAATTGTTTCTTCTATGTTCTATCAAAACAATAATTATGTGTTCGTTTTATATACATTGTTCTATTCATACATTGTAAAAAAAATAAAGAATTTCAGAATCTTGCGGAATTGTTGTTTGATCCTGAGTCTGGATACCAAATTTGGCTTGATTATCTCAAACGGTCCAAAAGTTATAGGCAAAGTTAGAAGCAGATAAGTGAAAATTGGTTTGGCCCTGGGAGCTCAGGAAATGGGAGAAATTAGGTCAGGGAGGCCAGGGCTCAAAGGGTTAAATAACACTACGTGGGGTGGCAACTCAGGATATAGACATAATTTTTAATCCATTTTTAATTACTTAAACTTTTTAAAATAGAATAGAATCTCGTAGAGAAAAGAATTGCGCAACAAGTGAACGCCAAACAATCTGTCTATAATAGTGCGGAATAGTATTAATACTTTATAAATTCACATTCAAATTTTCAAAAATCGGAAATAGAGTAAATTACAACTTCCGATCAACTGAAATTACTCCAAGTTATAGGCTTTTGAAAAACCAAAAGTAGAATAAGTTCCACTTTCGGTTACCAGAAATCGCTGAAAAGTTGATACGGATCTACAAATTTGATTTAATACGTGTATTTGAAATTTCATCAATCTATCTGTAGCGGTACTCAAGTTATCGTGTTTACAGACACACTCACACACACAGACATGCAGACAGAATTGCAAAGCCCAGTTTTTCCGACTCGATTACGCATAGAACGCTGGAATTTTGATAAATCTGCATTAATTTATTTTTTTTGCCTGATTACTGCTGCCGTGTAGTTTATTCTTGGGTGGACAAATGCTATGGAAGTAAATGAAGAACGAAAAGTAGACTAAAATCGAAGTCAACGGATCATATGTGACGCGTTATACTCACAAGAAAATAAATGTGGTACCCCTTAAATAAGTGTAAAACATTTAAGCTCTGAATGTAGAAAGATCTTCATTGAATTCTTCCCAGGAACATGAAATAAGATTAAAAGTCATTTCCCTTCAAACGAGACGTTCATAGCGCAGCGTAAAGTAGACCTCACATTTTTTGTCTTTAAATATAATGTTCTAGGTCGAGTCAATAGAAAATAAAAAGACATTCTCTGCAGCATTGACTAGTAAAAGTTGATGTACGTTTTGGGTAAAAGTAATCTTTAAAAATCTACAAGTGCATCTAATAGGGATGGAATTATAATGTTAAGTCCATTGTTATTAGATATTCTCTCAGACTTGACGATTCCTAAAACAGATGAGGTAGAATGTTTTGATTCTCAAATTTGAGTGTAAGGTATGTCCAGCACCATCCCCAGCCGTCTTTACTATCACCTACTCATGCCAGGTACCCATCAGAGCTAGGTTGACTCAAGGACACCATACGAAATGGAGTCAAGGCATAAACGCGTCAGAGCTTTATTGACTCGAGATGCGAACTCGCGTCGAGTCATTTACAATTGAGAGCTGTGTTGATTCGTGGACATTGTACATACTCGAAACTCATAACATGAAACCATCAGATCTGTTATAATTTAGAGGTCATACAAGCTCGTCCCAGATCGTTGACTCACGAACCTAGGTCAGGGTTTCCGAGATCGTAATGGTGCGCTCTATTTCTCGACCATGCCACTCCACATAAATAAAAATTAAATAACAATTTCAGAGTATTTGGGCTTTGTGGGTGAAGAGTAAGATCTCTAAAAAATCCCTAAGATAACAAGGCGGAAAAAGTCTATTCGTTACTAATAGAATGCCTGTTTTTAAAATGGCGTCGATAGATCCACAACTTCGCTACAAGAATTGCGCAGCCTTAACAAATAGAGAAAAAAATGAGGTTACTTCCTCTTCTCACGTTGCTATTTTCGCTGGTGTCAACGTTCTAAAAATAACATTTTTAACACAAGTTCATTGAAGTCTGTAAGATATATATCAGGTAAGGAGGGGCCCTCCTAACTAACTTCTCAATTTGAATTTTAATTACACACGTTTTCAATTAGAAAAAAAAAACTTTTGGTTTATTTGACATTTAGGACTCAAGGGTTGGATATGTTGGATATGTAGTAGAGCGTTGGACGGCTAACCCGAGAGTCACGAGTTCGGATTACAGACCCGAGTATTGTATGAGGTCACTGAGTCCACTCAGTTCTGATGGTCAGGAAACATTGAACTATATTCCATCTGCCCTATAGATCCTTAGGTCTGAAATTACTACCATAAGCAAGACCAAGCAAATGACTGTTATAAAAACCAAGTTTTCACCCTTACTAGTACTAAGTGGGTCACCGTTACTAGGACTAAGTGGGTCACTAGGACCATGTAGCTGACCGTTACTAGGACCATGTAGCTGACCGTTACTAGGACTGAGTCCACTCAGTTCTGATGGTCAGGAAACATTGAACCATATTCCATCTGCCCTATAGATCCTTAGGTCTGAATTTACTACCATAAGCAAGACCAAGCAACTGACTGTTATAAAGAACAAGTTGTTCACCCTTACTAGGACCATGTAGCTGATCGTTACTAGGACCATGTAGCTGACCGTTACTAGGACCATGTAGCTGACCGTTACTAGCACCATGTAGCTGACCGTTACTAGGAACAAGTAGCTGACCGTTAATAGGACCATGTAGCTGACCGTTACTAGGACCATGTAGCTGACCGTTACTAGGACCATGTAGCTGACCGTTACTTGGACCATGTAGATGATCGTTACTAGGAACAAGTAGCTGACCGTTACTAGGACCATGTAGCTGACCGTTACTAGGAACAAGTAGCTGACCGTTACTAGGGCCGAGTTAGTGACCATTACCGAGTCTAACTACTAGAACGTTCCAGGACCGTTACTAGAACCAGTTGGCTGACCTTTATTAGGACCATGTAGCTGACCGTTACTAGGACCATGTAGCTGACCGTTACTTGGACCATGTAGCTGACCGTTACTAGGGCTAAGTAGCTAACCATTACTAGGACCAACTAGCTGACCGTTATTAGGACCAACTGACTGACCGTTACTAGGGCCGAGTTAGTGACCATTACCAAGTCTAACTACTAGAACGTTCCAGGACCATGTATCTGACCGTTACTAGAACCAGTTGGCTGACCGTTATTAGGACCATGTAGCTGACCGTTACTAGGACCATGTAGCTGACCGTTACTAGGACCATGTAGCTGACCGTTACTAGGACTAAGTAGCTGACCGTTACTAGGACTAATTGGGTCACCGTTACAAGGACCAAGAGTCTGACCGTTACTAGGAACAAGTAGCTGACCGTTACTAGAAACAAGTAGCTGACCGTTACTAGGACCAAGTAGCTGACCGTACTAGGACCATGTAGCTGACCGTTACTAGGGCCGAGTTAGTGACCATTACCAAGTCTAACTACTAGAACGTTCCAGGACCGTTACTAGAACCAGCTAGCTGACCGTTACTAGGACCGTGTAGCTGACCGTTACTAGGACCATGTAGCTGACCGTTACTAGGACCATGTAGCTGACCGTAACTAGGACCAACTAGCTGACCGTTACTAGGACCATGTAGCTGACCGTTACTAATACCATGTAGCTGACCGTTACTAGGACCATGTAGCTGACCGTTACTAGGACCAACTGGCTGACCGTTACTAGGACCATGTAGCTGACCGTTACTTGGACCATGTAGCTGACCGTTATTGGACCATGTAGCTGACCGTTACTTGGACCATGTATCTGGCCGTTACTTGGACCATGTAGCTGACCGTTACTTGGACCATGTAGCTGACCGTTACTTGGACCATGTAGCTGACCGTTACTTGGACCATGTATCTGACCGTTACTTGGACCATGTAGCTGACCGTTACTAGGACCATGTAGTTGACCGTTACTAGGACCATGTAGCTGACCGTTACAGTGACCATTTGGCTGACCGTTAGTTGGACCATGTAGCTGACCGTTACTAGGACCAACTGGCTGACCGTTAGTTGGACCGTGTAGCTGACCGTTACTTGGACCATGTAGCTGACCGTTACTAGGACCAACTGGCTGACCGTTAGTTGGACCATGTAGCTGACCGTTACTTGGACCATGTAGCTGACCGTTACTAGGACCTCGTATCTGACCGTTACTAGGACCATGTAACTGACCGTTACTGGGACCATGTAGCTGACCGTTACTAGGACCTCGTATCTGACCGTTACTAGGACCATGTAACTGACCGTTACTGGGACCATGTAGCTGACCGTTACTAGGACCATGTAGCTGACCGTTACTAGGACCAACTGGCTGACCGTTACTAGGACCATGTAGCTGACCGTTACTAGGACCAACTGGCTGACCGTTACTAGGACCATATAGCTGACCGTTACATGGACCAAGTAGGTGACCTCTCCCAGATGTCAATTACGGGAACCGCCTGATTAGTCATCATGTCAGGCCCACACACGCAAATGTAAAGTAAAGCTAAATATAAACATCTACCCACCACAGTTTCCCCTACCCATACCACCATGCACCTCAACGGCCATAAATAAAAGCTAAATTGTTTTTTCTTAAACGTACGCACGTACGCCCTAACCTCTTTACCAGACAATGGTGAAAACGAAAAGGTGGTGTAGTCATTGACAACGACTTGTCAATAACAAACAGGACATGAGTGGACCAAAAATGGTATAAATGACGGGGACTTGAGACCCAACCATTAGTTTTGAGGATTTCGACCAATCTATTACGATCCTGTCTTGTTTCGATACTGCGACATTCCAGTTGATTAGGTCAAGATGGGTACTTTTATAATTACGCTGACCCATGTCCTGTTGGTTTCTCTAATCTGTGAGTATTTCATTATTTGACAACATTAATGTAGGCCTAGTGTTATGTCAACTCTATGGACATATATTTGTGGTCAAATAAATGGCAGAACTTCTTTTTTAAAATCTTAAATTATATATATGCTCAGATATCATTATCACCTTCATATATATGATCAGCTTTATGGCCATACAGCAATAGTCAAATTTATTGCTTTATATAATTTCATTTGCACACTACATAAATGGTTAGCTATATGGCCCTAGATCTATGGTCAGTTAATTCGGTTTACATCTATGTTCAGGTAAATGGCCCTAAATATGTGGTAAGCCATATGGCTCAATATATGTGGGCAGCTACATGGGCCTGGTCAGCTATATGGCCCAATATTTGTTGTTAACTTTATTGCCCTAGATCTATGGCCAGCTATATGGCCCTACATCTGTGGTCAGCTATATTGCCCTACATATATGGTCAGCTATATTGCCCTACATATATGTTCAGCTATATTGCCCTACATCTGTGGTCAGCTATATCGCCCTACATCTGTGGTCAGCTATATTGCTCTACATCTGTGGTCAGTTAGATAGCCGATGATCTGTGCTCAGCTATATTACAATACATCTGTGGTCAGCTATATTGCTCTACATCTGTGGTCAGCTATATCGCCCTACATCTGTGGTCAGCTATATTGCTCTACATCTGTGGTCAGTTAGATAGCCGATGATCTGTGCTCAGCTATATTACAATACATCTGTGGTCAGCAATATTGCTCTACATCTGTGGTCAGCTATATTGCCCTACATATGTGGTCAACTATATTGCTCTACATATGTGGTCAGCTATATTGCCCTACATCTGTGGTCAGCCATATTGCCCTACATATGTGGTCAACTATATTGCTCTACATATGTGGTCAGCTATATTGCCCTACATCTGTGGTCAGCTATATTGCCCTACATCTGTGGTCAGCTATATTGTCCTACATCTGTGGTCAGCTATATTGTCCTACATCTGTGGTCAGCTATATTGTCCGACATCTGTGGTCAGCTACATTGCCGTACATCTGTTATCAACTATATGGTCCAACATCTGTTATTATATGGCCCTAAGGTCTGATATGACCCTTTATTTATGTTCGGCTACACGGCCCTACATCTGCGGTCAGCCCTATACCTATGAAAAGATATTTGACCCTATATATTCTACGCTCGGCTATATGGACTTGTGGTAAGCCAATGGCCCCAACCTATGTGGTATATAGTACCAACCAAAGTACTTAATAGACGTAAGTCGCTTTCAATATCTGTCATTTTTCAGTGGAGCAAGAGTTACACTATAATAGAACAATAATCTGTCTGAAATGGAATCCTCTCTATATCACCCTTGTTGTTTTTTCTAGGCCTTGGTCTTGTCGCCGGAGTGACGGAGACACCTAGCATGTTTCTCCCTAAAACCTCACCTCCACCATCAACCCCACCTACATCAGGACCTCACATGCCTGCCCCACCTACATCAGGACCTCACATGCCTGCCCCACCTACATCAGGACCTCACATGCCTGCCCATCCTACATCAGGACCTCACATGCCTGCCCCACCTACGTCAGGACCTCACATGCCTGCCCCACCTACGTCAGGATCTCACATGCCTGCCCCACCTACATCAGGACCTCACATGCCTGCCCCACCTACATCAGGACCTCACATGCCTGCCCCACCTACATCAGGACCTCACATGCCTGCCCCACCTACGTCAGGACCTCACATGCCTGCCCCACCTACATCAGGACCTCACATGCCTGCCCCACCTACGTCAGGACCTCACATGCCTGCCCCACCTACATCAGGACCTCACATGCCTGCCCCACCTACATCAGGACCTCACATGCCTGCCCTACCTACGTCAGGACCTCACATGCCTGCCCCACCTACATCAGGACCTCACATGCCTGCCCCACCTACATCAGGACCTCACATGCCTGCCCCACCTACATCAGGACCTCACATGCCTGCCCCACCTACGTCAGGACCTCACATGCCTGCCCCACCTACATCAGGACCTCACATGCCTGCCCCACCTACGTCAGGACCTCACATGCCTGCCCCACCTACATCAGGACCTCACATGCCTGCCCCACCTACGTCAGGATCTCACATGCCTGCCCCACCTACGTCAGGACCTCACATGCCTGCCCCACCTACGTCAGGATCTCACATGCCTGCCCCACCTACGTCAGGACCTCACATGCCTGCCCCACCTACATCAGGACCTCACATGCCTGCCCCACCTACGTCAGGACCTCACATGCCTGCCCCACCTACGTCAGGACCTCACATGCCTGCCCCACCTACATCAGGACCTCACATGCCTGCCCCACCTACATCAGGACCTCACATGCCTGCCCCACCTACATCAGGACCTCACATGCCTGCCCCACCTACATCAGTACCTCACATGCCTGCCCCACCTACATCAGGACCTCACATGCCTGCCCCACCTACATCAGGACCTCACATGCCTGCCCCACCTACATCAGGACCTCACATGCCTGCCCCACCTACATCAGGACCTCACATGCCTGCCCCACCTACATCAGGACCTCACATGCCTGCCCTACCTACGTCAGGACCTCACATGCCTGCCCCACCTACATCAGGACCTCACATGCCTGCCCCACCTACATCAGGACCTCACATGCCTGCCCCACCTACATCAGGACCTCACATGCCTGCCCCACCTACATCAGGACCTCACATGCCTGCCCCACCTACATCAGGACCTCACATGCCTGCCCCACCTACATCAGGACCTCACATGCCTGCCCCACCTACGTCAGGACCTCACATGCCTGCCCCACCTACATCAGGACCTCACATGCCTGCCCCACCTACATCAGGACCTCACATGCCTGCCCCACCTACGTCAGGATCTCACATGCCTGCCCCACCTACGTCAGGACCTCACATGCCTGCCCCACCTACGTCAGGACCTCACATGCCTGCCCCACCTACGTCAGGATCTCACATGCCTGCCCCACCTACGTCAGGACCTCACATGCCTGCCCCACCTACATCAGGACCTCACATGCCTGCCCCACCTACGTCAGGACCTCACATGCCTGCCCCACCTACGTCAGGACCTCACATGCCTGCCCCACCTACGTCAGGATCTCACATGCCTGCCCCACCTACGTCAGGACCTCACATGCCTGCCCCACCTACGTCAGGACCTCACATGCCTGCCCCACCTACGTCAGGATCTCACATGCCTGCCCCACCTACGTCAGGACCTCACATGCCTGCCCCACCTACGTCAGGACCTCACATGCCTGCCCCACCTACGTCAGGATCTCACATGCCTGCCCCACCTACGTCAGGACCTCACATGCCTGCCCCACCTACGTCAGGACCTCACATGCCTGCCCCACCTACATCAGGACCTCACATGCCTGCCCCACCTACGTCAGGACCTCACATGCCTGCCCCACCTACATCAAGACCTCTGGCACCTAGACCTGGTAAGTTTTTTTATTGTACTGTTTCACTTTTTAAAAATAATTAGATTGAAAAATGTAAATCCAAACTCATTACAGGGCCAGATTTAACGATGTGTGTAGAAGCCAATAGCTTAAAGTGTAGCAACTGTCGAAGTGATTCTAGAACTATGTGACTTACCCTGATAGCATACTAACCAACACTGACATGCAACCCCACACTTACACACACAACCAGGCATGATTTTTTTAAAACTTTTTTTTCAACAGGAATGACTGGCAAACCCCTGCACATGTCTGGTAAAGTTGAGAGAATATGGTTAACAGCCTATGAGCTTATCGCGGAGTGCCAACCTATGAGCAATATCAGCTGTCCCATTGAAGGACTAGCTACTACCGACCTAGCAGCTATTTGCCGGTAAGAATTTTAAGTCAGGGATATAATTTTCCATATTTAATTTTTTTTTTTTAAATAACTGAACCAGTACAATAATGATACAGTGATATAACCTTTTAAAAAGAAATTAAATATAATTAAATAATATTTATTAACCCAACTTTGTAGTATTTTTGTATGCTTTTTTTTTCTTTTCTAAGTGGTAGTTGATTCAGGTGTTACCTTACTAATGCCATAGTCAAGCAGACGTGGTGTCAGTAAGGTAGATAAAGTAGAGCTCGCCTGTTTTTTGAGACCTTTGCAGAGGACGGCGTTGCACTAACTCAACCCCCTTTACTTAATCTGGCTTTGTACCAGAATCCATCAGATGTGGGTGGGCTTTAAAGCCGGGTACCAATCAGAGAAGCGTGGTTTTGTAGGGACATTCTACAGCATCGCACCTTAGAATCGAACTCAAGCCTTTCGTGTTAGTAATCGTTCGCCCTACCACTTGACCCCTACTTAGATTTTTAAAGACGCTCTACTCGGATTACATTCGGGTCTATTTACTTACAGTGATTTTAAAAAGCTCACAGAGTGTCTGTGCATCCGTTGCCACGAGACTGACAACATGGTGTCAAAGATAGACGTAGCTAGTGAACAATGCAGTGAGTTTTATTTTTTTATTTATTTTTATTTTTTTTTTGTTTTTTTTTTATACATAATTAATTAATGATGGATCTAATATTCCCAGCCTCCAAAAAAACGAAGCCATAATATAACCTTAAACTTAGCCATCCAGCACCCCAAGTTCTGTCGAACTCTAAGCACAGACGAAGTTATTGAACAAAAAAAAATATTACATTCGTTAATTCAAAAAAATTATTTTCTTACGTATTTTTCAGGTGCCGGCTTGTGCCTGAGTATGTTGACACCCTGGTTGATATTGATGCTCATTTGTGTTCTGCGATGGCTTATCTGAATGATAGTTGCGTCAGCTGGATGAAAAATCTTTTTCTATTATAAAAATTGTACGCTTTAGCTGTTAATAAATAGTTGCTTTAAAAAATGTACACTGATTTTGTTTTTCTAAAAAAAAAAGCTTTAGATCTAGCTGTAGTTTATTGTTTGTCTGTGTTCTGTTTACTTTAGCCATAATAAAACGATGGTGTAGTAAGTGAAAGTTGAAATCGAGTCAACAGAGAAAGCATTTAACCATCAAAAGGGCTGGAGAAAGGGGTAGTGTAACTCCAAATGTGG